ACTTATTTTTCACAAGTTTACATTAAAAAAAAATCACTTTTTTGGTAATTACGACCACTTATTTTGCTTCCTTAGGTTGGTAATTTTTATTGGTATGTATTCTGTGATTTTGGTTGGACGATAAGCAGTTATAGTTTTTTTATTGACTTTGGAATTTTATGTTTAATTAGGTACCTTAAAATAATGTTTCTTTTTTTTAAATTGGGATTTTATTGAATCATTATTGGTCATCCTAAAATTCAAATTTTATCACCCTAAAATGCATTAAATTGACAAATTTACCTCTAAATTTGGATCCATCACCTGTCGCCGACTACGATTCCAGTTCCCTCTCGTCTCCTCCATCTCCTACACTGTCTATATTTGGCCCGGCTTTTAGAAGTGTTTTTCGGCTTCAAAATCTAAAATAGGGTCAAACACCTCTAAAAGCTCGGCTTTTGAAAAAGCCAAAAAGCGCTTTTGTATAACAAAAAAGCAGAAGCTCCGATTTGGAAATACTGCAAAAAGATTTTTTTCAAAATGCAATATTATCCTTACCATATTTTAATTTTATTTAAGAAAATATAATTTTCTTTCATTTATAACATTTTAAAAATAAAATAATTATAAAATCATATTATTTAATATAAAAGAAATCTAATAATATCCATTTTAACTACTTTTTATTGTTTAGATTTTTATTCATAGTTTATATTATAAGTGCTTTGTAGTCATTTTACACAATCTCTCATATTAACAAATACTTCTAATAGTTTTTCAGCCAAACACTCAACTGTTTTTTTTTTTAAGTACTTCTCTAAATGCTCAAACAAGAAGTTGCTTCTGCAAAAACTACAGTAGGTCCAAACTAGCCCTCTGTTTCCCGAATTCAGATCTCCGCCCCCCATTTCCAACTCCCCGCATCTCCCACCTCCTCCCTCAGATCTACACTCCCCTGCCCCGAGTCCAACTCCATCGGACGAGAAAGGTCGGGTGACTGCTCCATGACCTTCCCGCTATCAAAACCAACATCTCTGGCTTCGCCAGGAAGCCTTTCCTGCTCGGATGAGTACGTCGACGACATCAGTAAGTTAGCATGTAAAAGAAGGATAGATGGAATGGTACATGAATTTCACCACGACTATGAGGATCAAATACACGGAAAGTGAAGATTAAAAACATTGATTCGAATTAGACGACGGTCAATTCTGAGACCCATAATTTTTCAAAAAATAAATAAACAAGCCCGAAAAAGTAGGTCATCCCGTAGATCTTGTACTCATTTCACAAATTACAGGAAAGATGAGCACTTTCCGATGAACCAACGAGAACCCATTATAAAGTGCATCATCCAAATGTCTCCAACTCCTTCTCCTCTCCTTCTCCAACTCCTTTCGTGTCCGATTAATCTGGTCCAAATAAATCCCCAATTGCTTCGTGTCCTCAACTGAAAAGAGATCCTCGTGTCCGATTAATCTAGTCCAAATAAATCCCCAATTGCTTCGTGTCCTCAGCTGAAAAGAGACCCTATTAAGGTCTGGTCCAAATAAATCCCTATTGTTGCTTCGGTGTCCCCAGCTGAAAAGGAAGATCTCTGGTAGCCCGCACAGTGCTCTGCCTCGGCGATGGCAGACGACAATATATAAGTTTTTTCCCGTAATTTATAAGTTTATTTTGGGTTTAAGTGTTTAAACTACAAATAAATGAACTAAGGGCATTAGAATAAAATTGACTTAGTTAGGACGACGAATAAAAAATTTTAAAGCGACAAATAGTAATCCCGTTATTTAACTGTCCTGTCATTAGTTTTCAACTTGAGATATTAAGTTCAAATTCCAAAGTAGAATCCCCCTCCTCGCAAACACCAATTTGGCAGGCTCACAAACAGAATGGTGCCCACAAGATTTTCAACTTCTAACTCTTTGTGATCAACACAATTTGTATGATGTGGTTGGTCATTCACGTGATGTGAACTTGGGCATTGTATTTTATGGTTGTTCTGTGACTATAAAGCGAGAAGAAAACAATCTCATGCAAGACTATCAACAAAGGGAGAGAGAATTCGGTTGGGGATGATTGGAGGAGTGAAGAAAATGAATTCATACAAGTGTCGATTCTCAAAACGTGTTTTAAGATATTGGAGTGAACTAATTATGATAATTAAAACAATAAGTATATGTTGTTAAATATATTCAGTATAGCTACCAAAACAATATGTCTATGGCTTCGTTAATACATTGGCCAAACCAGAGTGTCAATATGATTAGGCAAAATACACTTACATAGCCAAAACTATTCGCGTTGTGACAAATATAGCCAGTTTTTGAAAAATACACTTGTATAGCCATTCCGTCCAAAACTTGAACGGGAATTTGACGACTGCTGACTGAACTAATGGATGATTGTAACGTAGACGCGGTTCATCTACGTGGCAGGACAGGTGTAAAATGTATTTTATTTCATTATTAAAAAAAAAAGTTAAAACCCTAAAAGTAACTTTACCAATTAATCGACTACCTTTTACCATTTCACGCGATTTACCCTTCCTCTTCTCTCATTCTTCTCTCGTCAAACAGCTCCCCCATCTCTCCCGATCGACGAATCGATCGAAGACCACACCCCGACGGCGCGACCCACTTCTCCGTCGCTCCAGTGAACGACGTCTCCCCCTATCGCTCCTCCATCTCTGGTGAAGACAGAGGAAACCATGCATCATCCGGCTGTTGAATAGACGACGACGGCGAACCCTAATCCTTCGTCACTGCCAGCCTTCGTTGCAGCCGGCCTTCGTCGCTGCTATCATCCTTCGTCGCACCCGTGGCTTGAATCGTCCATCCCAGAATCGCGACGCGAGCTCAGCGAACCCTGATTTTGGATTCGCGTTTGGCTGGTGAGTGAAGACAATAGTATGGGGTTATAGTGTGAGAATGTTATTGCTGGAATGCGTTTGATTAAAGTGCAGATTTTGGTATCTATTTATAGGTGTTGGCGATCTGTAAAGCTTGGAGAGCGACAGAACAAGTTCGTGAAGGGACCACAGAACTTCTCTTTGTGGCGAGATTGCCCCTGAATCAAACGGTAAGAAGCTCATCACATTGGATACAAAAGTCAATTTGTAGTGACGACAAATGTGCTTTGAAATTGGTTAATTGATTCGCAATTCTTTAGTGGATAGCCTGTTGTATGCGATTTGTTTATTGTAAAGCAAAAATTTGGTTCCACTTAAGGCTAATTAACTATTAATTCTGTAATTATATAGTATATAATGACAATAAGGTTGTTATCTTAACAGATGGCAGACTCGTGGGATGAATTGGTGGGCGAGGCAGCCACAATATGGAGATGCTTCTGTTTCTTCTGATATCTATCATGTTTATGACTCCGATGATGCAATGACATCAGATGATGAATATCACGAGCCTAGAGCTAACCTACGTGCTTATGGTGAAGGGAGGAAAAGGAAAGTGATTGCAAGAGTTGCTGCTGGTGGAGAAGAGGTAGACCAGCTTGAGGAATTTGAAGAAGATGACTCTGAAAATGGGGAGGAGGAAGGCCAAGAAGATGGTGAGAATTCACACCACTCCATTCCTCTTCAGAATACTTAGCCACCTGAAGAACCTCAGCCACCTCGATTTGATGTTAATGGGGAGGGCTCTTAGCATTCGAACTACAGATTGTCAGAAGACTCAGATCATGTAACGGGCAACTTGTCAAATGAGGAGGATGGTGATTTGTATGATGATGCACCACGGTATGATCCACTCTGCGACCATAAGAAACTTGAGTTTGTATGTACAATGAAATTCGATGGGGTAGAGCAGTTCAAAGAGGGCGTTGCAAGACATTCTGTAGCACATGGAGCATGTCTGAGATGGATTCGCAGCAACCCTACGAGGAGAGAGGTGAAGTGTAAAGATGAGAACTATCCATGGAGGTTGTATGCAAGCTGGTTCAGGAAGGATAAGTGCTTCATGATAAGGAAAGTGGGGCTGCTACGCTCATGTGCAAGGCGTCTATCAGTTAACCAAGCCACAACAAAGTGGATAGCCTCAGATATGTTAGAGAGATTCAGAATTAACCTAGAGTGGGCTCCGGAACAGATTATGGTTGAGGTGAAGTTAAAGCACAACATGGAGGTGAAGAAGAGAACTTGCTACAGAGCTAAAGTAGAGGCTATCAAGATATTAAGTGGGTCGTTGAGTGATGAGTATAACTTGATTAAGAGATATTTAGCTGAGCTGAAGAAGAGGGATAGGGAAGGTCTTTTCCAGCTGGAAGTTGACCCTCACCCAGATGAGGATAAGTTCTTATTCAAGCGCTTATATGTTGGTTTTTCCTGTTTGAAGGATGGATTCCTTTTGGGCTGTCGTCCTATGTTTGGTCTGGATGGCTGTTTTCTTAAAGGGTAGGTAAAAGGTATACTTCTCACAGCAGTGGGTAAAGATGGAAACAACCAGATGTTCCCAATTGCCTGGGCGGTTGTGGAAGGAGCAAATACCAACTCTTGGACATGGTTCGTGGATATTCTAACTAAAGAACTTGGTTTAATTCATGGTAGAGGATGGACTGTTATATCGGACCAGCAGAAGGTATAATAATCTTTCATGTGTTTTTACTTTGAATGTTTCTCATGGTTTGTATACTAATCCAATTTCACTACACTTTAGGGTCTGGTTGAAGCGCTCCACTCAATACTACCTGAAGCGGAGCATCAAAAATGTGCTAGGCATGTGTATGCCAACTGGAAAGACAAGAACAAGACTGACAACATTCGAAAATTGTTCTGGAAGGCAGTGTATGCATGCAACGAATCTGATTGGAAGAAGGCTACGCAAGAGATGGAGAGTATACAAGGTAATGGCGATGGACCAACGCCATTTACTGACTTTATGGCTGCCGATCCGACCAAATTTTGTCGTGCTTTCTTGTCTACAATTCCTAAATGTGATAGTGTCGAGAGTAATATATGTGAGACCTGGAATGGCAGCATTGTGAAGTATAGAGGATTTCGTATTATAGAGATGCTTGAAGGAATTAGGGGGTATATGATGGAAAGAGTGGTGATCAAGTATAATATGCTGCATGGGAGTACTGTTGAGTTGTGTCCGAGAATAAGGAAACGTTTAGAGAAGGAGAAGGAGTTTGCTAGGCTGTGTGTATCTAGGCAATCTCACAATATGAGATGTGAAGTTAAAATGGGGGCTGAAGGGTACATTGTAGACCTGACTTCAAAGGAGTGCAGCTGTGTGTATCTAGGCAATCTCACAATGCAAGGGCATGCCCAGCACCTGCTGCTGTCGTTGCTGCTCGAACTGTGGTAAACTCTCTTATTTATATCACATTGTCCCTTTATATCACTTTGTCCCTTAATATCACTTTGTCCCTTAATCGATGGTTGTATGCTTGAAGGGAATGACTACACGTGTCACAAGGAACCAAGCTGCTGTCACAAGGAATGGACCTGCTGCTGCCACAAGGAATGCTGCTGCTGCTGCCACAAGGAATGTTGTTGTTGCTGCTCCACATAATGAGAGTCAACCAAGGCAGAGGAGAGGCAACCACTGCTCCAAGTGTGGCTCTGCCACACACAATGCCAGAACATGTCCGTTGAACAGGGGAGTGGGAATACAAGTAAGTGATTAGTGTAAGTTGTAGATGAATGTTAGGTTAACTAGTGTAGATATTTGTTAGGTTAACTGTTTTGTTTGTAATCTAGGATGTGAGGTTGAATGTTGGCGATCGTATTACGATTGAAAGGGAGCTTCGTCAAGCAACAAGAGGAATTGGTGTTTATGTTGATGAGACCACTGGTAATCAATATGTTAGGGTGAGTAATTGTTTTCTTTCTTTCTTAGTTACACCATTTTTTCATGGTTCATCACCAATATGACATTTAACAAAGTTGTTGAATGCAGCTGAATGGGGCAAATGGGAGATTTGTTGGGAATCCACCTCCAACCCAACCTACTGAGATGGATCTGCCAGGGAGCCAGCCGTCACCAACCCAACCTTAGAAGTTTAGTTAACTTCTCATGAGTCGTGTTTTTGTACAGGGCATCCAACCCTTGCTTAGAAGCAGCTTTGTCGACTCATGTAATTCGGCTAAGACAATTTATGTTAAGTTTTAGGTTTGTTTGCTAGGTGTAGCTGAAGGAAACTCTCTATCTTAGGTTGATGTTCAAGACTAATGTCAGAATGTAATCAGTCACTAACTAAGATGCTTGTTAATGTGTGCTCCAGACTATTGTAGAAGCCGGATGATTTTGCAAGGATTATGTTAGGTTCAATCGTTCCATGCTATCTTTTGCAAAGAAAATAGGTTGTTTACCCCATTTTATACCAACTTTAAATTTCAACTTTCATATTACATACGATCGATACAAACGTACTGCTTCCACATAAATATAATCAGTAAGACATTCAGAACCAAGAAGAAACTAAGCATATATCGAATCACTCGCAATTCATGATACAAATTCTGAGATTCAGTTATTCGATCTCTCTCAATTTTGCATCCAATTGCGTAACTTCTCCTCCAGCAGTAGCTTATCCTTCTTCATTCTCACTGCCTTTGATTTGGCAAGCCTTAAGCTTTCTTCCAACTTCATCATCATACCGTCAACATCATTGTTTCGTGCCTCTGATATATCAGAACTTGACTCCACCCAACGAAAAAATTGCACCCACCTTTCGGATCCTGCAACATTGACGTTCCTAAGGCACAATACATCATAAAATAGTTCATAGAAACTACGATTTGCTTACCATCCAATTTGGGCAACCATAAAACTGTCTGCCTGGGTTCAACTCAGTCCTAGAAGTTTGCACCAAAGCAGGGAGTTTGCACTTGCAAATGACAGCACCAACACCTTCACTTTTGATGTTCGTTGACCCAAAATCGGCAAAATCCCTGCCGACGTTTCTCCGCCCAACCCTGCTCGACATGGATAAATCGGCGACTGGAACTAGAGGGAGAAGGAGAAGGCGATGGGGAGGAGAGAAGGAGAAGGTGATGGGGAATATAGAGGGAGAAGGCGACGGCGGCGGGGATGGGGTTTTCCTCCACAAACCTAGAATGGAAGGTGGATTGATAATGGTCGACGATGGAGGAGTGGGATTGATTATAGGTAAAAATAAAAGGTAAAAATGACGTGGCAAAATGTTGTCGAGTTGGCGGCGATGTGGCAACCGCGTGACATCCACCTCAGCGCCACGTAGGGCTTACTGACGGCGTATGTCTTTCCGTTTATGTTTGTAACGGAAATGGCTAAATTTGCCATGCAAGTTTTCAAAAGTGGCTTTATGAGTGTATTTTTCAAAAACTGGCTATATTTGTCACAACGCGAATAGTTTTGGCTATGAAAGTGTATTATGCCATATGATTATAATGTATTGCTTTGGGCAATAGGATTAGGTAGGGTGCTGATCGGTCCGGTTTTGGTTAACCACTCATTGATAAGGTGGTTAGCGTTAATCGATAAGCAAAAAACTAATACCGATAACCGAACCGATAAACCTTATCGATTAACCGTCTCTTATCAGTTCGGTTAGCGATTATTTTGGCGGTTAACCAAGAACCCCTAAGGTACTGCTCTTCCTGTGAAACATATCCTAGTGTCGGTATATGGATTATGCTATAATAATTGGATTAGAATGAATCAGTCTCGAAAACCATATATATAGAGGGATTATGGTTGATTTCTGGTTGCTCGGTGGTGATTAGTGGTTTATCTATGAGCAGTCTCATGGGCAATCTGTGACCAAGTAAATAGCAACATGCATTTGGATTAGTCTAATGGAATCGAACAAGTTCGGTTACCATGTATGTCATCAAACCAAAATTTTATTGCTTTAATGCTTTTACAATAGATGGTTAGTGTCTTTGAGAATTTTGAGTTGCTTTGTTGGTTTGGGGTTGGACTAATATAGAAAAGTGCACTATTTTTATCTTACTTTCATTGTCCAAAAAAACAAACTGAATATCCAATACTCAACTTTACCCAATGAATTAGTTATTGCTCTCTTCCTTTCTATAATATTTTTGGCTTATTGCTCTCTTCCTTTCTATAATACTAAGTGGTGATGTCGCGTCTTGTCGCGGATGGAGATGACCTATGGGCATGTATTATGTGGCCTGTTATGGTATTTTGTTTGTATTATTAGGCTAGAATTAATTTGTTGTTAGCAATTTAGTTAGTATTATTGACTGGACAATATCATATTGACTGAGAAGATATATATGGCGGTCAACATCCAATTAATGTTTTTTTTTTTTGGAAATTTTGGCTAATAAATGATATTTATCTATACCCAAGTAGACCCATTGATTATGGGTAGGGTATGGGTGACGTATATATGGGTTTGGAAGTTCGTACATGAGTTTGGGTAGGGTATGGATATATACTTCCGTAATCTAAATGTGTATGAGTTGGGTATGGATACCCATTTATTCGAGAGTGTTTTAGCTATATATATGTATATATAGAAAAAAAATTATACCTATTTGTAAAACTTCAAAAGTTTAGGTCACAAAATGTAATACACAAAAAATTTAGGTACTAAAATGTAATGTTCCATCAATATTTTGTGGACTTATGAAAAAAAAAATTAGGTTATAAATCTAAAGATCTATTAAGTTTATGTACATAATTGTAATTTGCATAGTTGAGACTTAATTCATTTATGGTGATGTATTTTAGATGATAATTATTTACTTTTTTATAGAAAATGAAAACTATTTATTTGATATGTATAGATACTTAGCCGAACATTCCATGTATTATAAACAAAGAAAAATTATAGAGAGAAGCAAAAGTAATACAAACTGGAAGTCGCTTAAAATTTCATGCCTTCAAATCCCATAGTGAAAATGATGACTTTCTAATGAGTAATAACCATACGTATTTATTTTTAATTGCACTCGACATTAAGCTGAAAAAGTTAGTGGTTCATGGTTCAATTATTAGTTCTCTAGACTGTTGGTGAGTCTTGTATGGAAACGTTCATACTTGTGATTATAATACATAAAAATAATATACTAATTAGGGTTAGACGAAGAAGGCAAAGAAGAAAATAAAGAAAGGGTTATGGAAGCAAAGTGAAAATGAAACAAAGATGAAGTAGATGACGGAAATGTTTTGAGCAATTCATTTAGTTGGCCGTTAATACAACAATCAACCATTTTCATCGTAGCAATTTATTGACACTTGGTTATGTACGTAGATGTCGCATATCTTGTTACATGTAGTTAGTAGAAGTTTGTTTAGTACTCTCATAAATGTACTAAATGAGTTTATAAATTCGCTCTTGCACTATTTTAGAGTCGTTTCTATTAGCTTTTATAATTTATTTAATGTTTCACATAATGAGCAAATATAAAATGGTCAAAAGGATTGGTGGATTGGATTCAAATGAAATCTAAACATATGATCAATATGTAAATTTAAGACATTGTAGGTGAATCTCATAAATTTAGATACGAAAACATAATTGTTCAAAAAATTAAATTTGGAGTATCAAAATGTAAAATATACATTATACTGACTAAGATGTAATTTAATTAAATTTGGGGTACTTTTATGCTATTGTGGATTTGATTCATGGATTGGTTCAAAAGGATTGGTGGATTGGATTCATGGATTCAAATAAAATCTAAACATAGGACCAATATGTAAATTGTAGGTGAATCTCATAAATTTAGATACCAAAATATAATTGTTTAAAAAATTAAGAAATTGTAGGTGAATCACATAAATTTAGATACCGAAACATAATTGTTCAAAAAATTAAATTTGGAGTATCAAAATATAAAATATACATTATACTGACCAAGTTGTAATTTAATTAAATTTGGGATACTTTTATGTTATTGTGGATTTGGATTAATGGATTGGTTCAAAATGATTGGTGGATTGGATTCAAGAAATCTAAACATTGGACCAATATGTAAATTTTAAAAATTGTAGGTACCAAAATCTCCTAAAATATAGATATCAAAACATAAACGTTCAATAATTTTACATTATAATTAAATTTGAAGTATCAAAATATAAAATGTTATTATAGTGACTAAGTTGTAATTTAATTAAATTTGGATATTAAAATGTAATTTTTTGCAACAGTAACTAAACTTCAGCTTTATATGTACTAATTCTAAGCTTATGGGCAGCAGCAGCAAACAGAAGGTGGTTTCCTGAGATCGAGCTTATGTCAAAGGGGATTCTTACTTCCCAAACAGACCCGATCAAGAACATGGAGGGATGGCTGAGTGGCTTAAGGCATCTTATTATTATTAATTACTAGCACAGGTTCCGGCCCGTTGGCCGGAAAAATTTTGTCGAGTAATATGATATATAATAATGGATATAACAAATGATTTGAAATGCATGAAATGATTGTTTTCTATATGCACATAACATTTTTGAAAGTGATCCAACTATACATAATATGTTTAGCCTCCATGAAAAGAGAAAAAAAATATATAATATAAGCATTACATATAATTATTGAATGAAAAAAATAAATTTAACTAATTGTCATTCATTACTTAATTAAAACATATAGTTGAATATTATAGTTGCTTCTCATAATACATAAATAATCAACATTTAGGATGAAATAAAATGTCTCATAGAGTTCAATATGTCCTTTAAGTTTTTCCCAATAGAGAGCATTTTTTTTTACTACACTATTGGTAATGAATCCGAAGTTGCTTGATTTGAAATATATAGGACATGATGCTTAGTTAGTTAGACAATGTGTTGTGTACGGAATTCCCAAATTATTCTCAGATCACATACATGTCTAACAACAATTTAGTAATTTTCATGCAACAAATTTTTTTTCGTGAAATAATTCAATAAATAAAAACGTGTGAAAATAATATTACATGAAATATATGTTACTCATACATATGAGTAGCATACATTTATTTTAGAAAGATAGAAGTTGTAAAGTGCCTTTTGGGTTGCATGGGATCTCATATCGCTAACTGACTTATGCTTTTTTGCAATAG